CTGCAGTTTTGTTGGCACTGGCATGAAGACTGGGAAAATTATCACTGGGGATTTAGTAAATAAGATAATAGTGCCAAAAGTGCCAGAAAGAATATGCTGAAATTTTGTCTTGTAATCAATATCAGTCAACTTCCTTCCTCTAAATTCTGTATCACTGTTTTTTCCAAATGCCTTTATAATAACCATGTAGAAACTTTCAATACTGCTTAAATTTTATGACTTCAAGTTGGCATACAGCCTGTTAAAACTACTTTTATTCACTTAAAACCTGGACTTAATGAAAAGTGCAGATACTATTGTTCAACACAGGGTGATGGACCTCTTCATTAGTTTAAGGTCAAATGAGAAAGTGATTTTGTTCTTATTTTAATTTTGGTGTCTTGAATTGGTAGTTTGTGTTTATGATAAGGAGCGAGGTTAAAAAGAAAGAGAAATGAGGAATGCAGTTTTGACCCAGTAAAGTTAGTGCAAAGACACTGTTGGCCTGAACCTCCGAGTCATTGCCATCTCTAGGGGCATCTTTTCCCTTGGCATAGTTATATGCAAGGAAATTAAACCTTTTGATATTTTTATTTTGTTAACTTGAGAGCAACAATGGAAGATGATTGAAGAGCAAAGACCCAAAGACTCTTCAATTTTCCAAATTGCTTAATTTGACGGAGAAGGAATGCTACATTTTGTTAAATTATATTATGATAAAGAGAAGCTGGTTGCTTCTCAGCATGAATCTGAAAGCAAATTATTTCTACAAAAAAGGACGATGTATTTAACTAGACAAGTAATTACAATGTGGTGCTACTATCTCCCCTGCCTCAGATTAGAAAAAAAGAATTCAATTATCACTCCATTAGATCAAAAAATAATTTTAGTGATACATTCCAAGTGAATTAATTTATTCCCAGACAGGTTCCAATGAATTTTTGGATTAACCTTCTTGCATTTTGCTGATTGAAATCTTTAGTCGATGCTTTTACTTAAAAATCAAACTTGTACTTATTTATGTTTGATTAACATTTTCTTCACTATTACTTTTTTTGAATTATATGATACATCCTATTAATTTACAGCATAGTATAATTGGTTTCTTGTGAAGTTTAACCAAAGTACTATAATACATTACTGTACTTCTAGATAATTTCATTATTTAATTTCCACTATTTTACAATAAGCAATAGACACAAATTCATAGTAAATGTGATATATATATCACATACATGTGTAAATTAGAAGTACAGTTCTACGGTGAGGGGAAGAGAGAAGAAGAAATAGACTGAAAGATAAGGTTAAGACATTAAGTGGTCATAATTCTACATTTTTGGGTTTAAAATGTGTTTTATCATATTTACTTCTAGAAGGCTATTCAAGAAATTAAAACGACAAACAGTATAGTTTTATCCTCTCTTCTTTACATACTTTACTGATGTATAAATGACATATAATAAACTATGTATCTAGCATTGCATTTCACATATATAAATTATAAATACATGATAAATGTAAAGTACATATATAAATTATATATATCAAACTTTATAACTCTATAATTTTCTGTTTCTCTCTCCTGAGGTTATAGATACATCATATACATATGATTTACATATGCAGTTTATAAACTGCCAACAAAATACCTTTCCATAGCACTAAAGAGAGAACACACAACTCATTACTCAGTAAACGTTACAGACTGGTTATGTTGGCATGCATATAAAGGTAGCACAAGTGTGTCTATTAAGCCTAAACTATTTCATGCATATATATATATATATATATATATGTATAAAGATAAGAGCAATAAAAACTTATCTGCTTAAGAAATGAGAAGACTTACCTTGCCATTATCTCTAATATTCTTTTAGAGGACTTCTGAGTTCATCTTGGAGGTATTTATAAGTCCAATAGTCTGAAGGCCCATAACCTTGAATTGTAAGATTTAAAATTCAAATCAGTTATTGGGCCTATTATGATTTTCATGAGGTGACCTCTTCACTCACTAAGAAAATAGTCATCATCTTACCCTTATAAAATATACGTATGAATCATTACCACAATTAAGATAATAAAACCCATGATTCCCAAGAGTTTTCATATCTTTACTTGTGGCTGTAATCTCCCTCCCTTCATCATCTCCTTCATCCTCCAGAAACTTGACTTTCTGTCACTTTAGTCTATATTTTTTAGTGATGTATATAAATGGAATCTGAGTTTACATTCTTTTATTTGGTTTCTGTCACTCAGTATTTATTTTGTGGTCTGTTCATGCTATTATGTGTTTCAAAAGTTCATTAGCACTTATTGCTGAGTTATATACACACATACAGAGTATACTGCTTATTATATTGTATATTATTTCTTACTGATCATATATATTAATGGTGATAGACATTAAGGTGGTTTCCAGTTGCAATATTGTGATTTATATATTTCTCACATATATTTGATCTCCATTTACAGCTTCTGTCTCACAGCTCCTAAAATCCTCATAATTTCCTAAGTGCTGTGAATGATAATGACGTCTCTGGTTATGTTAATGAAGGTAACTTTTGGAAAAAATCTGAGGATGGGGGCTGGCTCACCGGGATATCAACATAAATCCCAGATTTCTGAATCCAAAAAGGGAGAGGGACTAGAGTCCTGTTTTTTTCTTTCCTAATTTTTAAAAAATAATTCTGCATATTTTAAAGCAAATCTAACAACATCATGTCATCTTAGTGCAAATGATTATATAGCTCTATCATTATGCATATCTATGAGTGTGCTTTAAATAATAACCAGAAAACAATTTCACACTTCACAAAATAAACAAAAGTGATTGATGTAATATTATATACTCTTCTATACTCAAATTTTCTCAGTAGCCTAGAAAATTTCTTTTTAGATTTTTTTTATTCAAATCAATATCTGACCAACATATCTCCAGCTCCTTTTCTTTGATAATAATCTTTCCTTCTTTTTTCCCTCCATTGTCACTTGATATATCAGTTAAGTTACAGTATTTATCTTTATGGATGGTCAAAGGTAACATTTGGTTTTATATTGAATCTTTTGACTGTGACCTTGTGATGTCACTTACCTTGTTTCTCTATTCCCTTTAGTTTTTGTAAACTCTTTTAGAGACTTGTACTTTTAGAAACTTGATCCCAGTTAGCATTTCTTTGCTTCCTTTTTTTGTCTTTGAATAATTCATTTCTACTAGGGATGCATACTCAAAATCTGTGTTTAAAGTCATTTGAAGTAATTACCTTCCCTCAAATGTTATGTGCTCACTTGATAGTACCTAACTTGATATTTAGGCCTATTAGTTTTAGTCTGATTTCAATTTCTAAGTTTGTGCTCTTTTGATGGAATTTTCATGATTTTAAATTCAAAATCATAAAAATGCTATATTCCTAGAACTATCATTTCTATTATCTCCTCTTTTAGTTGCCTTTCTCTCTCCTTTTGCTTTATTTTCCAATACTACATCTTGAAAATGTAAGTATGCATGTATGTGCATTGATATTGCCAACACCATTATTTTATTAAAATGTACTACCTTACTTTTTAAAATTTTACCTTGAAAGTATTACACCTGTGGCTGGTCCCTTTTTCTTTCTTTTTACTTAATTAATACAACCTAGAGATACTGGATCTCCACTTCTTGTTAATTTTTAGGTAATTTTCTCATAGTTTATTCAACTAGTCCTCTATAATGGACAAGAGGCCTGTTTTCAGTCTCCTACTTTTAACTAACATGGCACAATAAATAATCTGAATGATATCATAAATAAATCACTTTATTATTCAGGGTTTTTTTTGGCCATATGCTTTTATAAATAGATTCCTAGAACTGGTATTTCTGATGTTAAAAGTAAAAACTTACCTGTTTTGGATGTTTATTTTCAAATTTTCTTACACAGCCATTATATCATTTTTACATTCCTTTTAGTGACCATGGCAGAATACCTATTTCCCCCACAACTGTAACAATGGCAGTTGTAGTTAAATTTTCATGCTTTTGTTAATTCGATGGGTAAGAAATGACATCACAGTGTAGTTTAATCAGCATTTATGTTATTGTAAACCAGATTAAGCAGTTTTTTATAAGATTAAGTATTACTTGCAATTATTTTCTGTACACTATTTGTTCCTGTCTTTTCAGGCATTTGTTAATAAATTTCACCAACTATTCTAATGTTAATCTGGGTTGGTTCTCTAATATATTCACACAATAATGCAGAGAATATTAGAGTAATTAGAACTTACAGCCTTCAGAATTAATTAAAATCCATGATGTTTATGAAAGTAATATTTACCATTGCAGTCACAAACATTCTGAGTCTTGGTTAAAACTATAATCATAAGAAGAATCCAGAAGTCATTCTGATATTTATTGAGAAACATTGAGAGGAAAAGAAATATGACAAGCAGAAGTGCTTTCAAGACTTACAACTAAAATAGTTATATTTTGTTTTATAAAATTTCAAAAGGGAGCAAGTTGAATAACATTTATAAATCAATTAATATATAAGTACACTACAAAATGAGTGATTACATGTGTGAACTGCCTGAACAAAGACAAGGATGACTAGAGAACTCTGCATATAGATGAGGCATGAAACAAATACCATGTTCTATAATATTTATATATCTGTGAGTCTGGCATGTTTCTATTGGGTTTCTCCAAGTGAATTTGGAAATAGTATAATTTTTATACCTGTCTCAAAGAAATCAAACAAAAATAAACTTGGCATTTGTTGAATTGCATGGATTTTATCATCTTCAAAATTTAATTAAAAATGCTTTGTTTTAGTTTCCCTTAGTTCAAACACTAACTACTATCCTAATCAAACTGAGAGCCTGAACTGCTACATTCCATTTAGGAAGACTAAAGATGGCAACAACAACGTTGGATTTGTTTGAAAGGAAAAAAGACAGATTTTGTATTCATTCAGTTAACCCCTTTCTGAAGTGTACTGCTTTATTTGAATCTAATGTTATTTCACCTTCTCTCTGTGTCCTAGATGAGGCAATTATAACCCCAGATTGCTACATGGCCTGGGAACACCAGGAAGACTGTTAACACCTCGCCTCTCTGGCACAAGATCATACTCAACAGCTTATTAAGATTCAGGCATAAGCACCAATGACTAAGGTGCAGCAAAGGTCTGGGATTTACTTCCAACTCATTTAATTACAGAAATCAATGAACTCCTGGAGTTGTGCCAGGTGAGAGAAAATGAACACAGTCCAACTGACATTTTTGCCATCAAGATAGTTCAAGGAACCCTGCCTCAAGAAACTATTACAATCTACAAGACCCCAAATTGGCAAAGTAATGAGGGTAGAAGTCTGAAATATTTGCTTTGAATAAAAATATATGACCTAGTTTTACAATCATAAGTAAAGATGATGTTAAACTTTTTGAACATTAAGCATAATAAGAAATGTATTTTAATTACAATCCAGCACACACACATGTGCACACACACCCACACAATTAGCTGTCTATAGGGTTTCTGAGGAAGGCATCAGAAGAAACTGCAGTATAAGATGGAGTCTGACATACAGATTACCTCAATGAGTGTTAACAATATTAATATTATTAACAACACTAAATTATTATAGAGTTCAGAAATAAGTTATTTTATGCAACTTCATTACAAGGCACAAAGGATTTAAAAAGAAAATTGCTGCTGAAATATGTGAATACAGGCAACTACAAATTAACAAAGGGGAAAAACAGTCCACTAATAGTACAGACAGTAAATCTCACACATAAACATGTGTGTAACACCCATGACATTAGGGACTTCTCTCCATTTTCTTTTTTCCTTCCTCCCTAACCCCTCCCTCCCACCTTCCTTCCATAGTAGGTCTTTATAATAAATTGATTAAAAACTGAGGTAGAAAAAGAAGAAGGAATCTATGAGTTCCAAGATTATACTTAACTAATTGAATAGCTTGCGAGGTCATTTATAGGATGAAGCATCTATCAAATATGCTAAAAGTTATTTAACCCTTAAACCAATGAAATACTGTTGGTAGAAAAATATTTGAAAGTATCCTATGATATAGTTGTCAGGCAGAGTGATTTAAAAAAAAAAAGGCTGATCCCACTTTTAGTTTCCTTAATGTAGTCTCCGTAGAAAATATACCACCATCCTATTAATCTATTCTGGGCATCATATTGGCTATTTCAAGTATGGTTTACAGGAACAGGCTGAGATGGATACTTTTTGGGGTTAAGTGTGTTTTATATAATGATGGTATTTCAAGTCTTGAGACTACATGAGACCAGGCATAATGTATAAGAATATAGAGAACAAATCACCAAGAAATAAGTCATGCAACATTTTACTTTATGAAATTAGGAGGAGAGGAGAAATGAATAAAAATGACTGAGAAAAGTGACTGATGAGGTCAAGAAAACACTGAGTTTGGAGTTCTGAAACTGAATGAAGAAAATAAAAAGAGAGAAATCTGAGGTATCAAAAGGAAGAAGTCAATAGCTATATCTGAGTTTAAGTGAAGATTGAAAACTGACCCTAATTTCAGCAAAATGGTGATAATTGGTGACCCTGAAATGATCACTTTCATGGCTAAGGTGGAAATGGGAACTTTACTGAAAAAATAATTAAGAAATAATTTGAAAAAGTGAATTGGAAAAAGGGAGATAAACAACTTCTGAGTTTTTTCTCAAAGTTTTACTGTCAAGAGTAAGCCAGTTAATTAAATAGAGTCAAAAGAATATTTTTATTATGGCTTATGAAATTGAGAGGAATTACAGAATCTTGCTGGTTTTCTATGTTTTGGTATGAAGACATTGTTAAAAAAAGATTATCTTCTCTCAATGTGAGGAATTTCTTTGTTTCTGTAAACTATTTCTAAGAATGTACATGAAATATAAGTAAATTCTGCATTCCAAAGATATGTGTTGCATAATGCAATTCCACAATGATTAGGCAGAATTAGCTCTACTGGGTCAAAAATATAAATTCCTGCTCTAATAAGAGTATCCTTAGAAATTTGGAGAAGTTAATTAACCATACTTTACTCAACATTCCATTAGTAAATTCATATATTTTAGCTACCTTGTGATATTGTTAGGAAATTTGTAAGATAATGAGCCAAAAGTTCTTATTGCAATACATGACAATTCATAAGGAGTTGATGTATCTTAGCAACCATTTTTATTTTCATATCATACTGACAACAAATACAAAGAAAAAAACCAAATTGTCATTATTTTTAAATGACTGAGGATCATACAGAGAAGACCTTAAAAGCTTCAATTCTTGAATGTTAATTCAGAGATTCTCAGTAAGTCTGTTTCCTCAGATATAGTTTCTATTGATTTATTTTTATTTCCTGTGTATGCCCATACTTTGATTTTCTTTTCTTGGATTGTAATTTTGCTGAAAACCAGGCATTTTGCTTATTATAATGTGGAAACTTTGGAAATTAGATCATTTCCCTCCCTAAGATATGTTGCTTCTGTTTATTGTAGTTATTTGTTTAAATACTCTTCTGAACATATTCTATGAAGTCAATATTCTTTGTTGAATGTGTCTGTTGAAGTCTTTGTTCTACTTGCTTAGCAGTTAGCTAATGATTACACAGATTTCTTTAAATTATTAGAATGAAAAAAATTGTCCAGTCTTTGCCAATGGATTCTGTGTCTGTGTTGAGTGTTTTCAACACTCAGCAACTCAGTTGATAACTCCCTTTTAAAGTTTACTTCCTGTTTCCATTGCACCTCAAGGAAGTGAAAACTGCTTATATCTTTCCTGAGCACACATTAAGCCCACAAAATGGGTAGACTTCTGTGTCCCCAGGAATATATTGGGAGTTTTCAAAATGCTTAAACATATCTCATTGCCAGCCTTTAATCTCAAACTTTTTGGATAGGCTATTGTTTGTTATAAATACTATTTATGACATCAGGCAGCAATAACCTAAAATATGAGTCTATACTTGTTTTCAATATATCTGAATGCCCATGTTCACTGTAAGGTTATTTACAATAGCCAATGGAAACAGGAAACAACCTGCCCATTGATGGAGGAATGGACAAAGAAGATGTGATATATGAGATTCTGTCATTTGTAATAATCTGGATGGACTTTGAGAGCATAATGCTATGTGAAAATGTCAGACAGTGAAAGAAATAACTATATTATTTGGAATCACTTATATTTGGTATCTAAAAAAAGAAAGAAAAATAAAAACAAACTCAAAGAGACAGAACAGACTGGTAAGGTTGCCAAAGGTTGGGGAAATGCGTGATGGTGGTCAAAATGTACAAATTTCTGGCTATAAGGTAAAAAGTTTTGGGGATGTAACATACAGCATGGTGAACATCAATCAATATATGAATAAATAAATAAATATAAGAAAAAGAAAATAAATTCATATAATAATGTTACAGATTAAGGGGCATAACTGTATGCCCCTTAATTTCATATGTTGAATACTAACCCCCAGCACCTCATAATGTGAATGCATTTGGAGACAATGTCTTTAAAGAGATTATGTAAAACTAGGTTATGTGGGTAGGTCTTAATCCAGTATGACTGTTGTCCTTATAAAAGAAGATTATACCAGAGACACCAAGAGAAAAGACTATGAAACTACTGTGGAGAAGATAGCCATCTGTAAGGCCAGAAGAGAGACCTCGAGATTTCAGTGCTGCAGACACCTTGATCCTGGATTTCTTATGAGTAGAACTGAGAGAAAATAAATTTCTATTAAGTCACCCAGACTTTAGTGCTTTATTACAGAAGGCCTAGAAGCTAACAGCTAATGGTTTGAAAACAGTAAAAACTATGGCTTTGTTAAAAAGACAACGGGGTTTGAATGCAAGCTCTGCAACTAACTAGATTTTTGATCATTCTCAGTTTTCGGTTCCTAATTTGTAAATTGAGGATAAAAACCCTACCTCCCTACTGCATTGCATGTAAATTATTTACCAATGTCCTTGATGATCTACACATCATAAGTGATGGTGGCAGCATTAATATTAACAGCAGCAGCAGCAGCAGTAGTAGTAGTAGTAGTATTGGTAGTGATATGGCTAAGAAAATTTCTTTTTGAAATTATGTTTATGGTTTTCCAAATTTCCTACAATGGCTCTGCTTTACCTTTAAAAAATAATGAATGCTATCTTTAAATATAAGACTATTTAGACAAAATAATTCTCTATGGATAATCACTTGTGAAATATGCTGTACAGTAAAAACCATACCAGTCAAGAATAGACCTGTCTCAAACAAAGTTAGATGTATTTGGCTTGCAGAAGCAAAGGAAAATGCACATAAGAACCACAGAGCATCTTGGAAAAAGGGATTTGGGAGGGGTTTCCTATAGGACTTGGACATGTACAAGAAAGATTTATAGAAAGAAGTCAGTTCTAGAGTGGGTGCTATCAGGAAGCAAGGGCAATTTTGTGATTAGGTTATCATGTCAATTTTTAGCCATAGGTGGGAGAATTAATGTGTAATCAGAGTTGTTACTGATAAAGAAAGAATATTCATAGCTGAAAGAGGGGAATGTTTAGTTTTTTTTGTAGTGCATGGTAGTTTCATCACAGTTTCTGCATCACATGTGACCATGTTTCTCCAGGGTCACACATGGCTTTGTCTGGCAATTCTGGGAATTGTTTATATCTGTGCAAGTTTTTATTTTGTTTATTCTCATTCATGTCCAAAAGAGAATGCCATAGCCTGGCTCTCAGCTTCTAATTGCCAAATGACAGGTTGTTGCTGTTTTTTTCTAATTTATTGTAGTTTGAAGACTGCTGATAAGGATTTCCCAGAAGGAGTTGTGGCATAATATGTAATTTCTTTGTTTTTTTTTTACTTTTTTTTACATTTTTTAAACAATATTTTCTTCCCCCCACCCTCTCAGATTGAGTCCCCATAGAATTTCCTTCCCCAAGGCATCTGTGCACCATCACCACAGTCCCCTGTGCTCCTCCCTCCCTTTCTCGGATCCCTCTACCTCCTCCTCTCCTGCAGTATGTCTCTGATTTATAATTGTCTGTTTTTGCTTTGCTGTGTTTTGTACTGTTATTTTTTTTTTACACTGATGTCTTATTTGGTTCCCCTATATTCCTGTTATTAGCGAAACCATCCGATATTTTTCTTCTTCCTTCTGGTTTATTTCACTGAGCATAATTCCTTCTAGCTCCATCCACATTGCTGTGAGTGGCATGAGTTTATCTTTTTGATGGCTGAATAATATTCCATTGTGTATATATACTACATCTTCTTGATCCAGTCATCTATTTTTGGGCATTTGGGTTGTTTCCAGGTTTTACCTATTGTAAATAGTGCTGCAATAAACATAGGGGTACAGGTGTTCTTTTGAATCAATGCTTTTTTGTGTCCTTTGGGT